GTGTGAACACAGCTATGCCAGTTCTGCATTCCCTTATACAATATGTGGACACAGCTATCCTTCAAAGTTCACAGGGGAAAGTGCATACAAAAATGTTTATATTAGGAGAAAGTTGCATGGAAAAGGTGAAGGATTTTCATAAGGACTAAATCCGCCCCCAACCCCCACCCCACAAAGTGATATGGAAGTGCGGAGAACTGAATTTTGAGATTGGAAAAATGAAAAACCGAGGGGGAAATGAAGTTGACAGAGTCACGCATCTCTAGCTAGCAAGTGAGTGAGCATGTGGACTCTCTCTCATTGGAGGTCTTCAAGTGGAATGGCGCTGGGCAGCGGCTGTGGTCCTCTAGATGTTATTGGACTCCAACTTTCACAAGTCCCAACCAGCACAACCAATGGACAAGAATGATGGAAGTTGCCATCTTGTGACACCTAAAGGGTGTCATCTCTCTATCTCTGGGTTTCCCGCAACAAGCAGGGAGTTGGACTAGTTGACCTACGATACCCCATGTAAAGGTAAAGGTACCCCTGCCCATACGGGCCAGTCTTGCCAGACTCTAGGGTTGTGCGCTCATCTCACTCTAGAGGCCGGGGGGCCAGCGCTGTCCGGAGACACTTCCGGGTCATGTGGCCAGCGTGACAAGCTGCATCTGGCGAGCCAGAGCCGCACACGGAAACGCCGTTTACCTTCCTGCTTGTAAGCGGTCCCTATTTATCTACTTGCACCCGGGAGTGCTTTCGAACTGCTAGGTTGGCAGGCGCTGGGACCGAACAACGGGAGCGCACCCCGCCGCGGGGTTCGAACCGCCGACCTTTTGATCGGCAAGGCCTAGGCGCTGAGGCTTTTACCCACAGCGCAACCCACGATACCCCATAAAACTGTATAATTCTATGGACAGATTTGTTTCAAAATATCCAAATCAGGCAAAGGCTTTCTCTCTTTTAATTTTAAAAAAAATTACAAATTAAACTTGTCCTGTAAGCCAAAGTTCTCTCAAAAACCTGTGGATTTTGGGGCAGTCCCAACAATCTTGGCTAAGAAGTGTTTTTCTTCTCCATTACAGACAGTGCAATCAAAGCAAAGACAGACCCAGTGCCAAATAACAGCGGAGAGATCAAACAGGTTAGGACATTATTACAGACTTCTTTTTTTTTTTCATTTTAGCCACAATGACCTCGAAGTAACCCATGAACTTAACTTTCCCTGTTTCCTAGCGGTGCTTAAAGGACTCCTGGTAAAATGCCATCTGGAATATGCTAATTTACAAGCATAGATGCCTTTGGGCACCTTAAGGAAACTGGGGTCTCTGTGGCCTTGAAGTTTGCAGCGTGATCAGTTGCCCTGTAAGCAACATGGGGAAGGGCAAGAAAACTGGGTCCTGGCCACCCCTTAACAATGCCCCAACTATTAATCACCAGCAAAACGAACCAGATATTGCCATATTCCATACCAAGCTCTAAACATTTTCAGGGAGCTTTTTCGAACGCAGTGGAACATTTTGATCCCAGCAGAAACGAAAAGGGAAACTCCCGTTAGTTAAATATCCAGTTCTCTAAGGGGGATCTGAGGACACAGAAGCACATCCAGCTGAAACTCATCTGCTTCCCAATCTACGTCTCCGGATGTGCCTTTTCATGCAGACGGGGTCAGGCATTCCTATTTGGGGCCATTGGTTCTTGCACATGAGTAGAGATGGATCCGGCCCCCTGTATATGAGCAAGATGATTATTGCAAGTGCTCGTCTGCCTGCCTCCATAAACAGTGCAACACACAAATAAGTTACCATGCTTTTTTAAAAAAATGATGCTCACAAATCCTCAATAACCCTAAGAAATGAACGTGTACAGTACCCCAACACTGGGAGTGATATGGAGTGACAATTGAAGGGGTCCTGTTAATATTCCTTAGAGACAAGCAAGTCAAGAGGGAGGCTTTCAGCCCCTGCCACTGAACGAGAGGCCCATTGTGCTTGCCAGATGGTGGCGCAGTGGTTAGAGTGTTGAACTAGGACTTGGGAGACCAGGGTTCAAATTACCACACTGCCAAGAAGCTCGCTGGGTGACCCTGGGCCTGTCACTCTCAGGCTAACCTACCTCACAGGGTTGTTGTGAGGATAAAATGGGGAGGAAGAAAATTAAGCATCTCCCCCTTGAGCTTTTTGGAGAAAAGGTGAGATATGAATGTATTAAAAATAAAGAATATAGTTTAGCACCATGCAGGAGGGCAATTGCCAAGTGCACCACAACTCTTGTGAAGGCCACCCATGCCATCATTGCTGTGTACTCAGGAAGGGAAGTGGAATCTCAGTTCCAGGGGCCAAATGTGGCCCTCGGGAGTCTCCCCAGCTCACACACATCACTGCCCCAACTCTGCATCCTCCTTGAGATTGTGGAGAGCGGTTGGCCTGACCAGCCCGTGACTCTGGATTCTGATCCTGCTTTTGGCTTAACTGGGTGGCATACCCTCCAACATCTCGCTGATCAAAACCAGGATGCTCATATTTTTTTTTTGCCCCCCTAGTTCTTGCAGGAGCCAGCTGACTTGCACCAGAGCGCTGGACCAAAAACCTGGGACATTCCGGGATCCAATCAGAAGCCAGGATGTCTTCTGTAATTCTGAGATGTCCGGCTCAAGTCGAGATGGTTGAGGGGTACGGGATGGTGTGGTGGGTGGGTGTGGAAACCAGCCTGTGGTACAAAGGGGAAACTGACCTTTGTCACCCTGCCCACTTTTGCATCTGGCCCCACCCACCACTGGCATGGTTCCCTGGAAAAATGCCCAGAAAGGAATGCAGCCCTCAGGCTGGAAATGGTTTCCCATCCCTGCACTCAAGTGTGAGAGCCCCAACTGCTGGATCTCCTTCCTCCGTTCAGAATTCCTTGGCACAAAAACTGGCTGTCTGCCGGTGAGTCACCAGAAGAGCCATTGATGGAGCCAAAGCTAACCAGGCTAGCCCCCAGCAGGCTCTCCAAATTGGCTCATGGCCACCCAACTGGCGTGGAGAACACTGACTCATGTGTGTTAAGCAGCATGGCTCCTGCATATCACTTATTCACCTTCTACACATGTGTCTGGCCTGACTGATTTCTGGATATCCTAGAAAGGAATGTAGATCTCTGGGTTGCTACAGATTTATTTTTTTACAGGTATGTGATGGTAACAACCCAGGCTGAACCTGGATTAAGTAAAAAGTTCTCATTCCAACATCTCCACTTTTAATAGTAAAAAAGTTTTATCCATTTTAAAACTCCCATTGGCTTTTAAAATTCCCAGAAGGAGTCCAGAAGCTTTCTATGCTATAGTTGATCATTTTAAGGTGTGGCGTATCTGTGCCATGAGAAATTGTTATGCGGCAGATGAATGGACGCACAGAGGCAGGGCTGGGGAGGTTGCACACCATAACCATTTTGGCTACCTGGAGCAAATGTCTTTGGCACTATGCTATCACCTTCAGAAGTAAGTCAACTTTTCTTATTGGAACTGATAGCAACAAGCAACACAGCAGGATAAGCTTTGAGAAGCATTGAATGATTCTGTTGGTTTGCAGGCATACAATGCATTCTGTACCACCACTTTGCATGTAAGCATTCTGGGGCAGATTCATGTCCCACCTGATCCCAGTTATACAGGACTGCAGGACTGCAGCAGCATCCTAATAATATGTCAATCAACCTTCCCCCCAACTAGTGCATGCTGTATGTTCTGCAAATAATGGTCATTTGCGACTGAGGCAGGTAGGAGTTCTAGTCCATAGTATCTGGAGGGCACCAGGTTGAGAAAAATGGAAGGCCATGTCAGGGGAGTTGTATGGCTCTATCCCAATTTAGCCTTGCCTTTTTTCTGCGCTCACACCTAGGTGGTTACATCTCCACTTTCAATAGTGAAAAAGTATTATCCATTTTTAAACTCCCTTTTTAAATTCCCAGAAGAACTCCAGAAGCTTTCTGGAGTCCTCCTTTGGGACGGCCCAAGTATATCAGCAAGTGAATGTATTAGATGGAGTACAAGGTTTGCCACACCAGCACAGTGTTTGCAACCAGCACCCGCAACAGGAGCCAATCTGGAGTATTGCTCTGGTGTCATCAAATGGGGCAATGCTATAGTGATCATTTTAAGGTGCAATGTATCAGTGCCATTCCCTGCCTTTCTGCGCTCACACCTAGGTGGTGACATAGGATGAAGCTATAGGGAAGTTGCTTCTAAGCTGCAGTGGTAATATATGAATAGAGGTGGATGAATAATATACACTTCTCTTTTAAGAAATGCTGCTACTTAGCTTTCCTAAGATGAGATGAGGCCCAGAGCTGGGTTTAAAGGCACATGGCACAGAGACCCCTTGCTGAAGCTAAGCAGTTCTGGCTCTGGTTTTGCAAGCTTCTTTGAGATCAATAAAAGAATGGTGATATACATATAATAAATATACATATAATAAATATTGGTGGCAGCCGGGTGCGTGTGAAGTTAAGCTGAAATAAAAGAGGCATGCCAACATTTCTTTAAAAGAGGAATCAACCGTTCTTCCTTAATTTCCCTTTACATTGCGAGAAAAAGCAGAGCTCAAGATAGGATTCCACCGCAATGTGTTTAAAATCAGCTCAAATGCACAGCTGCATGTGGTTGAGTGTAACAAAAAAATTCAGTTCAGGTCTTTGGCTTGCAGGGTTTCTGTTTGTGTGAACAGAGTCCATGTAAAAACATATGAGACCAATTAGTAGTGTTCGTTTACAGGACTGAATTCCAGATAGGGACCCTGTGGTTTCAATGTCCACCTTTTACAGCTGGAAGAGAATCTATGTTAAAGTCAATTTTTTGCAAGAAAGAAAACAGGTGGCTGTTGTATGAAGTGGATGGGAATAGACGAACATAAGCAAACAAGCAAATACGCAGACCTCTCTCAAGAGCTGGCAGAGGGAGATGGGGAGAGGGAGCCCTCAATTGATCTCTCCTGTGCAACACCTCTGTTTCTCTGCTGTAAGCAATTTATATTTATAACTCTTACCTCGGTTCCACCTGGGAGGCACAGTGGCATGAGCATTGTAATATAACAATAGCAGCAGCACCGTCTTCAAGTGCATCCTTGATTGTCCAAAAATAGTGCCCTAGCTGTGCCTATAGGTTAGGCCTTTCTTCCCAACCTTCTCCTTGTATCTGTAACAGCCAGCAAATTCTTCTCCTCTTCCCTCCTGGTAGCAGGAAAAACTTGCTGAGCGCAATTTTTCCCCTGACAAACTAGCGGCACCTCGCCTTAAACCAAGTCTCTTTGGGATCAGGGAATTCATTTGCACAGTCGGGCTCTGTTTTATATCCACATCTGGAATGACTCATGACGCATGTGAGTTTGCTGGCAGCTGTGGGGGTATATAAATATCATTACATTTTTGTATTTCAGTTCCATTCAGTAGTCAGGCCAGTTGGAATTTCCCTGTGTCAATAGACACAAGTAGCTGTATTAAGGAGCACTATTAAATCTTTAGGGTTGCAGTCTGCTATACGCGTGTCCTCGTGATCAAAGCCTGAGCTCTTGGAGTGACACATTGGATGCATAAATGAGGGAGTGGGTCGTGCTCATTGAGAGAATGTTCTGTTTTTCTCGGTGCCAATTTATTTTACAGAGAACATTGGAAAAGACTTCAGCCAATCAGGTCACTACTGGGTGGAAGGTGTGTAGAAGTCAATCCTTGACTTGGCTTGATGCTCTTGTAAAACAATATTTAATAACAAACCGGACACATTTATGGAAGATGTAGTGAGCTTTTAGTGAGACCACATTCATATTCTCACAGCATGCAGTTTGAAGAATGAGCATGATCCAGCCAAAGTTAAGTGCTTTTAAGGTTTGCTGTTTTTGATGGCACATCTTTAAGCAAGGCTTAATTCTCTCCCATTGAATTCATAGCACCCTCCAGATTTTTGGGTGTGTGTGTTGAACTACAATTTCCATTGTAGTTCTGTCCATTGGCCATGCTGACTAGGGATAACGGGAACTGTATTCCAACAACTTTTGGTGGGCACTTCATTGGTAACCCAGGGCTAGATTGCTCCAAATCTTAAGTGCCATTATAAAAATGGATTTAGACACCCCCTGCAGATTTTTGGCGAATTCTATAGGAAATAATAAACCTCCATTCTCTAGTTCACTCTTCCTCAGCCTCTGATGGTGCAGCATCTCTGAGAACCCAGTCTGCCATCTTGATGTCGTTCACAGCACCATGAGTCAGGGGCCTAGTGAACTGTTGCATGACAACAGCCGTACATGTTTATTATACACATGAAACAGAGGAAGGTTGCTTTTCTTGTGATTACCTTGTGGCATAATTTTTCTTTCCTTTTCAGTGCAGAGTACAAACAGTGTTTGGATCTTAGCCAATTTTTGTAGAGGCAGTTGTAAAGATTGTTGACATGCTGTTCATAGTGTAGCGTGGCAGAACACAGACTGGGATCTACTGGTAAATATCTGGGTGATGTTTGTTAGATTGGCAAGGCCTTCTGACTCCCTATTCTCTAACAACAGCAACAAACCAAAACTCCCCGCACCTTCTCCCCCAGATTAGATTGCTGGGGAAAGTATACTGGATACTGTCCTGATCACAAATTCCCTGGGTGAGTATGTATTCAGAGGCACCCTCACCCTTCCTTCTTAATAAGAACCGTCAAGTGGAGTAGACCCACTGAAATTAATAGCCAAGAGTAATGTTGCTTCATTAATTTCAGTGAGTTTACTCTGAGTAGCAGTTAGTCGAATGCAACCAAACTGAGCCACAATTTTGCACTTGGCTCCGGTTGGTGGGCCTCATGGTTCTAGTAAGAGCCAAAGCAGATGCCACAAATCTGAATTGTGTCGGTGCCTACTCCTGGTCTGCCATCCTTCTACAGAGATTCAGCTGAGGAGGGTGCCCTATGCTGGCTACTGAGAAGCGTTGTGCTGCTGCTGTTGTCCCAAGCAGCAGTCTAGCTACATTTCCCCCCTGTTAAAAAACAGGGGCGGAAAGGGGAAGCCACCACTACTCACCACTATTTCATTTAGCACAGGCATAAGGAAACTCCAGCTCTCCAGATGTTTGGGACTACAATTCCCATCATCCCTAGCTAATAGGACCAGTGGTCAGGGGTGGTGGGAATTGTAGTCCCAAACATCTGGAGGGCCGGAGTTTGCCTATGCCTGATTTAGCACTTATGTACCCTTTAAGATAAAAACACCGAAACACCATACAGTATACGAATATACCACAACAATCAATATAAAATTTAAACAGTGGAACATACAGCTGAGGTCACCCCATCTTTCCCTCCAAGCAGCTCAAGGTGCAATGCATGGTTCTCCCCATTTTCATTTTCACCTCACAAGAATCCTGTGAGCTGGACGAAGAGATAGTGACTGGCCCAAGGTCACCCCATGAGCTTCACAGCTGAGTGAGGAGCTGAACCCCAGTCTCCCAGGTCCTAGTTAGGCCCTCTAACACTATGCTGTGGGTACCTGGCATTCACACAGAAAATGCCTTGTACATGAAAAAAGCTCCTGCCTTCACCAAGCCTCCAGCACATGCTGCGCACGTAGCTTGATCGGTGTTGGCAGCACCATGTAAACAGGCGAAACCATCCTTGGGCCAAGAGCTACTTTGGAAACACCCTCTGGTGAATGAGCCTTCAGTCTCTTGATGCAGCCGTTGCCTGGCTACTCCGCTTAGCATATAGTCTCACGGCACTGTTCTATTTGGGGAATCCTCAACGAGCTGTGTACATTTTAATGAAGGAAATGCAGCTCTGGAAGCATGAAGTCATCGCAGCTAAAAATACAAGAAGGGGAACGTTTCCCTTTGCATGGAGCCAGTGTAAATATACGTGTGTGAATGCATCAATGGTCCCAGCAAGCCACGTGATGCTAGTGCAGTTCGTTCCAGATCACACCCATAAGACATACCTTTTAAGAACCATCAGGTTAAAAAATGGTCCATAGGCACTTGATGTAGTTCTATGGCTGCAGTTAACCAGGTTTGGCTCTTCTACTTTCCTGGATGCCACTTTGAGCTCCTTGCAAATAGGATCGCTTTTAGTTATATTAAGTCAGACTATTTGCCTGTTTTGGTCCAGCATTGCCTATTCCCCGGGGTCTTAGGCAGAGGTCTTTCTCATCAATTGCTACCTGATCTCTCTCTTTATTTAACTTGAGACACTGAGGGTTGAATCTTGGACCTTCTACTTGCAAAAATTACCTGCTCCACCACTGAGCTATGGCCTCTCCTCCTCATCTTCTTGGAGCCCTTGGGAAACAAGCAAGGCACCCTCCTTAGTTATGAGGAAAGCAACAACGCTTGCAATAAGTTACCTGAACCAATCGGGGGCAATAGACAGAAAGGTGGCCTATCCTTTTCTTGTAGATTCTTCCTTAAAGAACTACTTGTTGATATGTGGCCTTCTCAGGCTTCCTTCCTTCCTACTTCTTCTCCAAGTCCATTAGTGTTACCAAGCGTTAGTGTTAACCTCTTGACTCCATATTGGCCACCTGTAAGCTTATGCACAGAATGACTTTGTTTGCCATGAGGAATAGACCTTATTTATTCTTTCAGCCAACACTCTTACTAGACTTTCTATTTCTGCACTCCACTGTGATGACATATACCAAACGCCAACATTCTTTACCTGTTGCTTTTCAGAAGCAAGTGTGTCTTTGTTCTTTTGTCAGAACAAGTAGGTAGGTTGGTACACTGGTGTACTTGGTCATAGATGAATTTCATTTCCAGTTCATGTCTCCAGGATCATCTGCCATTTTCAATTTCAGCTGCTTCCCATTGTGTCTCCATGCCTCCAATGTGTTCTCAGTTGCATTCTTTAATCAAAGGCCCCATGCTCTTATCCACACGCAAAAGTTCTTAAATATCTAAATGGCATGAACTTGCACTCAATCCCGTGCATTCCCGGTCAAGTTGCATCATGGGCTTTGTGGTTTGTTTGTTTTTTTAAAGATATTTATTAAGATTTTCAAATTATTACAAAATGAAAACAGAAAAAAAGAAAGATACAAAATAAAAATGATTAAAAACAATCCAATCTTTCCATTACTTAACTTTCATTTGCTTGTTTCCCGGACCTCCTCACACCTCCCTTTTTTGTATTCCAGTTCATTTTATTAGTTCAGCAAATCCTTTCCCTCTTTATTTAACCTGGTCTTTAATCTTAAAATATTATAGCATTAAATTTTTACCTATTAATGATCCATTTTTTCATATTCCTTTATAGCATTACAGCTAGAAACCCCCATGCTTCAATCCAACATCATTTTAACACTCTTTAATTTTGCAGTATTTCTGTAAATAGTCTTTAAATTTCTTCCAATCTTCTTCCACTGACTCTTCTCCCTGGTCTCGGATTCTGCCAGTCATTTCCGCCAGTTCCATATAGTCCATCACCTTCATCTGCCATTCTTCCAGGGTGGGTAGATCTTGTGTCTTCCAATACTTTGCAATAAGTATTCTTGCTGCTGTTGTGGCGTACAAAAAGAAAGTTCTGTCCTTCTTTAACACCAATTGGCAGACCATGCCCAGGAGAAAGGCCTCTGGTTTCTTCAGGAAAGTATATTTAAATACCTTTTTCATTTCATTATATATCGTCTCCCAGAAAGCCTTAATCCTTGGGCACGTCCACCAAAGGTGAAAGAATGTACCTTCAGTTTCTTTACATTTCCAACATTTATTATCGGGCAAGTGGTAGATTTTTGCAAGCTTGACTGGGGTCATGTACCACCTGTATATCATTTTCATAATATTCTCTCTTAAGGCATTACATGCTGTAAACTTCATACCTGTGGCATGGGCTTTGTGGTTTTAAGGCTGCATAAACAATAGTCAGCAGCGCCTTGGAAGGAAGCCTTTAATTCTTCAATTCCTCTGTGGCTCTTATTTCTAAGTATAGACCACTTTGTAACTGGAACACATTTAATAGTACCAGCTACTTGTACATAAGAAAGTACACACCTAAATCCAGGCTGACAGTCTCTTGGATGCTGGTGATAAATTTTTGAGCTCCCCCCAGGAGTCCCTTCTTTAAGAGGTTTGATCCAACCTCCCAAAGACAGAACTCATCTCTGCTTAGCACACTGAACTCTTTCCCAGATGTCTGGAAATTTGGGAGCTATCCTGTGAGCTGACCAAGTTACAGAAGCAAAAAACAGTCATTTGCTTGTTGGAAAGCTGGATAGGTTGTTTGGAGTACAAACAACCTTCTCCTAGTTCAAGAAGGTTTATCCTGATATGGAACAAACCCAGACCCTTTCAAA